GCTATATCAGATCTTAGTTGCAGCATTAGGAACCTTCAGTTGTGACTCATAGGATTTTTAGTAGCAGCATGTGAACTCTTAATTGCAGTATGTGGGATCTATTCCCCTAATCAGAGCTCAAACTTGAGCACCCTATATTAGGAGCACAGAGTCTTAACCAACGGACCACCACGAAAGTCCCTCATCAAGCCTGTTTTAATTTCCTTCATTGTGGCCTGACTTTGTGGCTTTTTCATTGACTTTTATTGAAACTAGACTTGACTAGGTCAATTCCCATCCTGTATGTGAGATATCCAGCTCATCCTGGTACCTAACGATGATGTCAGATCCTGCTAGTCAACTAGCTCAAAAATACTAACTAATTCAGGAAAACTGCTATTTGTTTGTTTTTCTAATCTATGTGTTTGTTTTGTTATTTTTGACTGAAAACCTCCTGCAGATCATATTCTGGAATCAAGCACATGGCATCTGCTCCAGACCTTGTACTCGATGGCTAACCCTTCATCTTTACCAGTGAAGGAACTGAGACCCAGAGACATGAAATCACTTCTGTAATAGAACAGCTAAACTAGGATCAGACTTCTGCCATCCACTACATATCTGTTGAACACCTTCCTTATGCTGGGTGCCATGCAGGAAGAGACAGCCCAGAGAAGATGTGGGAGAAATGACCTCTGCCTTTGAGGAGCATTAGGTAGTTAGAACAGGAAAAAGGAGTCTAGAATGGTGGTGGCTAAAAGACAAAGAAGGGCAAAGCCCGTGAAAATAGAACAAAGGAAGGTCCAAGGATCGGAGTGAGAATCTCAGGTAAAGCAAACACCCCTCCTGGCTAGCCCGCTTTACATAGGGCAGGCTCAGGGGGAGGAGGAAAACATAAAAAGAGGAGCCAAAATTGGGCCTCTTGCTTCTCTTCTCTTCACGTCTCTTGGGTCGGCCCGCCCTCACGCCTTGAGGATGTATTTTCCTTTGCTTACCAAATAAAACTGAGCTGTAATACCAAGCTGTAACACTGATCCATCCGTCACTTCAAATTTTTGCTGCGGCAAGACAGAACCAAGGAAATTACACCCTCCCCCAACAAGAAGTATAGTCTTAGAGATGAAGACTAAAAAGCATGAACCCACCAGAGAAATGTGTTCAGTTGCCAAGCACCTATTATCACAGCGCTGGACGCTGGACACTGTGATAATAACTGACGTGAATCAGGGGTTCCCCTGCAACCATCCCACTTCATGACTGCGTTTTATTTGACTCTCTCAGCAGCATTACTGAGTAGGAATATCAGAATCCCATTTTACAGAGAAGGAAACTGCTGGAAAGAAATTCTAAACAGCTTGCCTGAGGTCACACAGCTAGAAGTGGAAAAGCTGGGCTTTTCCTGCATCTGTCTGACTCCAGAGCCAGAGTTCTTACCCAGAGTGCTCCCCAGAAGCACTATTATCATGTAGAAGAGATATTAAGAGATTAAGTTTCGGTATTCATCCCTAAGGGGGCCATAAGCTAAAAGGGAACAAGGCTTGTCTCCATCACAACTCCACAACTCCTTGTCATAGAGGCTAACACAAGCTGTGTGGTATAGGCAGTTTGGACCAGCCAAGTTTTCAAGGGAGAAAAAGAATTTCATTTTGGATCTACCCTCTTAAAAGTCTTGGCCTACATGGGGCTGCACGGTGACACGGGGAATACATATCAGCTCAGCTTAGGAAGCTTAAGACACCATAAAAGCTCAGCTCAAAGCAACCAATTTTAATAAAGATTTGTACAGGTCTTTCATACTGCAGCATTCAACACAATTCCCTCCCAGCTCAACCACCTGCCTGGCACCCTAACACCATGTACACAATAAACAACAATATTCTCAAAGGAGACCAAAAAACAAACCCCAGAACTTACAGGTTATCTGCATGTGATGACCAATTTTTCAGAGCCAAACACGAAGATATGCGGTCTCACAAATTCATATGTCCTTACAGGAACAATAGAATAGTATATTAAAAATCAGATCTGTCTCTGAACATGAGAATTGTTTGAGGATATATGGCTGTCATAAAGCTAGGTCACTATCAACACACATCATTTGCTTCTACTGGAAGTGAATAATGGCTCCTAAGCTTTTGAGAAAATAAACTCTGGTGGGTTTTCTTTTTAAACCAAGTGATTGATTGGTGAGAAGAATTACCAAATACCTGAAGGATAAAGTATATGTCAAAGATTGCAAAGGAGAAGACTACATTTCATACTCACTATGAATCTTGAATTATATCCTTATAGAAAAAACAAGTGTCCTCAGTATTGGTATGTGTGTGTGCCTAGTCTCTTCAGCCATGTCTGACTGTTTGGCTGCCAACTATAGCCCACTAGGCTTCTCTGTTCAAAGGATTCTCCAGGCAAGAATACTGGAGTGGGTTGCCTTGCCCTCCTCCAGGGGATCTTCCTGACCCAAGGGTCAAACCCATATCTCCTGCATCTCTTGCATTGCAGGCAGACTCTTAACCACTAAGCCACCAAGGAATCCCCCAGTATCAGTATATAGACCTCTCAAATCTTAGCCCCAACATGCTTTTCTAGTTTTCTTCCCTATTCTTCCTCTCTGCCTCAACCAGATTTATTGCCATGCCTGGGACCTTGTAGGCACTTAACTAATAATTGTAAAAGGAAAGGAAGGGAGGGAAGGAGGGATGGAGAGAGAGAATGAACAAATGAAACAGCAGATATAATCATGGCATAAATGAACTCATGCTATCATGTTCCTCCCCTCTATGAAATCCTACTCTAAGTAAAGGATCTGATAGATTCAGATCAAAGTGTCATTAAATATGACACAAGAAGCTTCTAACTAACCTAGAGCAGTGGTTTTCCACTCTGGCTGCACATTAGAATCATCCAGTGAGCTTTCAAAGAACAGTAATGCCAGGGCCCCACCCCAGAAAATATGATTGAATCGAACTAGAGTGAGGCCCAGGTCGCAGTGCTTTTTTCCTACCTAATGTGCAGACAGGGTTGAGCATTTCTGCTACAGCCTGACCCCTCCGAGGGGCAGAGAGCAGATGTTACCTCTCCATGACCAGAGAGCTGGTGGGTGACAGAGGTAGGACTGGAACTCAGAGCATCACTGAGTCACTCTAGCCTTAATCAGCCCTCGATCTAATGACATTCTTCCCTCTCTCTTATATCTCTCAGACTGCAATTTTTCTCATTCATATTAAGCACCAGCCACGAGCTAGGTGCCAGGTAAACGGCAGTGAGCAACAGAGCCAGTCTGCTCCCATCTCGGCCTCAGCAGGAAGAGCTCGTATATCTGGAGGCCTTTCCCAGTCTGGATCATACTGTCTACTTTGAGTTTCTCAAGACCAGGAGCCACGAGTCATTCATCTTTGGAGCTGCAGGGCCTACCACGTAGCCTGGAACAGGGGCAGAGGTGATGGAAGTTTAATGAATAAGTAAATGAACACAAGGGGGTTCCTGAATCCCCTTACATGGAAAGAAAAAGAACAGAAAACTGTCAAGAAGATCCCTTGTATGAGTCAGGACGATTTAAGTTTTATGTCATAGAAATCCAACATTAATTTTTTGAGGCAAAAGAGGGTATTTATCTGTTCATAACTGGCAAAGGCAAGTGTGTAGAATCCCAGAGCTCAAACCACGTCACAGGGCCTCTATCTCTCTTCTCAGCTCCCACCTTAGTTTGTGCCATCTTGGCTTCATGCTTAAGTCAGGGCCTTTCCAATATTCCCAGCATTCCCAGGTTCATATCCTCTGATTTTAACAATCCCAACAATGACCACCTATCATTCCCACGAAAGACTCTGAGGGCTCAATTCACCCATCCCTGCACCAAACACTGGTTGGTTGAAGGTATATTCTGATTGGTCAGCCTGGCTCACAAGCCCACCCAGGGGCAGTTGGCAGGGAACCACAACGGTCAGCCTCACCAATAACATGTGAAACGGGCGAGGAATCCCCCTTAGGAACCAGAAGAAGGAGATAGGAAAGTGTGCCACGCTGCCATGGTCTTCTCTCTTTCCATCTTTTGCTCCATCATCGTACTTGGCAAGATGGCTTTTGTCCTCATCCATGTAACTTCACGGCGGCTTCTCAGTAAGGAATCTGCTTGCAATGCAGGCAGGTAATTACTCTTGCTCTGAGTCTGTGTAGCCTCCTGGGGCTCCCTCATCAAAGACACAAATGCTCTGTACAGCAATTGTTTGTTTTTCTAGCCCCTACCTCTTGCTAGGATTTCTAAAGACTTCTATATTGTTCATGGTTGTATTCCCAGCCTTTTGTACACCATCAGTGTTTTATGAGTATTTACCATGTGTTAATGAATTTGAGTAAACTCCGGGAGTTAGTGATGGACAGGGAGGCCTAGCATGCTGCGATTCATGGGGTCACAAAGAGTTGGACACGACTGAGCGACTGAACTGACTGACTGAACTGAACATGTGTTAGGCCCTGTGCAAATAAGTAGGTTCTCAGTGAACACATCTTGGAGGCATGGATGAATGGAGGTGTGGATGGTGGCTGGATAACCCTATATGCAAAACAGAAAAAGAGACTCAGATGTATAGAACAGACTTGTGGACTCTGGGGGAAGGCGAGGGTGGGATGTTTCAAGAGAACAGCATTGAAACATTTGGAGCCATTAGACGGTCCCTCTAGGCCCTCAGGCAACAGCTAATAGTTTCCCTCCCTTCTGCCGCCCAGCTGAATCCTGAATCAACACCAGTAAAGTGGGTGTGAACGTAAGGAGACTACATAATTTGCTATGATTTACCCGGAGTGTGTGCATTCCTCTCCTCCCTCCCTCCCTCCTCGCTCCTCTGCCTTGCCCGCTCCCAGGGAACTGGTTCAACCAGAGCACGGCCAGCGCCCGGCATCTGCCTCCGGGGCCGGCGGGACGCAGCCGAGGAGGCGGGGCGCGCGCGGGCCGCGCCTTCGCGCCCGGGACGCCTGTGCGGGGCGGCCGGCGCGCTCATGAGGCCGCCGCCGGGCGGGAGGACGCGGAGACGCGGCCTCTCGCTGGGAGTCCTCGCCCTCTGCGTGGCCGCCGCCCGCTGTCTGCAGAGTAAGCGCGGGCCGGGCCGGGTCGGGCCGGGCGGGCCGTCCCGGGTGGGGGTCGCGGCCACCGGCCGGCGGGGCGGGGCGCGGCCTGGAGCGGGGAGTGGCCCCGGGCGCGATCGGAGCCGGAAGGCGCCGGGGGAGAGCCGGCTGCCGGTGGCCGTCTCCGCGGCTGCGTTCTATATTTCTTTTTCTTGGAAGAGCCCGGCTGCGGCCCTGGCATCCTTGACCCCCGGCGCACGCGCGCCCCGCCCCTGCTATGGGGGCCATTCTCCCTCCGCGCCTTCTCGGGTCCCCAGCGCTGGTCCCTGGTTCTTTAGGCCCCCCACCTCTTAGAGGAACCCCCAACAGACGCTCTCAGAGAGGAAAGGGGGTCGGGGCTGGGGTTGGGGTCTGAACTCCTCAGGCTGGAGATGGCCCTCGCCGCTCCGCCGCGGGCGGAGGCTTCGGATGGCTGGACCCCGGGGACCCAGACCCCAGATCAGAGCACAGCTGCACCTTCTCATTTAGTCATTCCCCTTATGATCACTCCCATTTTACAGATTACTCACCCGAGGTTTCCAGAATGACAGGCGCAGGGCCGCGGGCGGGGGAGGACCTCTAGGCAGAGCCGGTGCTTACTAAGCGCCTTTGCGCTCACAGTCGCCAGGGCTTGACGGCACGTCTGTCATTGAATCCTCAGAGCCACTCTATGTAAAAAGTGCCACTCTTCTTATTTTCCCTTAATGTTCACTCGAGTGTAGTTGCTTTACACTGTTGTGTTAGCTTCTGCTGCGCAGCAAAGGGAATGAAAAAGTGCCGCTCTCATGCCTGTTTCACAAGTGAGGAAACTGAGGCACAGCTGCCGCCACCTAGGCAGTGATAGAGTTAGTATTTAAGCCCGGGTTAACGTGGCACGATTGACCCTTACGCCTCTCCAGCTACAGCCCAGCTTCGAAGGCTGCGAACCCCAGGAACCCACAAAGACTGGTAGGGGCCGCGTGCCTCTGGCTGTCTGTGGAGGAGGAAGCAGGATAGTCCATCAGATGAGTGGGTGTGTCTGGGGTCGCAGTGACCTTTTCTATCATTTTGCACTCCTCCAACATGTTTCCGACCAGACATTCTCATGTAACATCTGTACAGCTGTCCCTGACGTTCAGGGGTCAGCCGTTCACCGCAGTGCAGAGTCCATTTATCCACTCACTCATTCACGGCCCCCTCTGCTTCCAGGAAGCAGGCCACAGCGGTACTGGGGGTTCTGTGGTTCAACAGTGATGCTCTCAGACAAGCAAACAAGAGTGCTGGCTGGGAGTGGCCAGTCCTGAGAGGCAGGGAGTGCCAAGTTCTGGAAGCTCTAGAGGCTCAGATCCCAGACGTGGGGAATTAGACCAAGACTCCCAAAGGGAGCTGTGCCTACCCAGTGACAGATGGACAGAGCTGCCGGGAATGGGACAGCGGGACACAGGGCATCCTAAATGAAGGGGAAACGCATGCAAAACCGAGAGGAAGGGTCAATGTTTTGCAGTTCTCCACTGAGGAGCGACTCCTGCAGAGCTGTAAACTGCAGGAAGGCAGGTCCCTAGCACTTGCCCAGTGCCAGCCGCTGTCTGCCCTGTCCCCCTGCCAGAGGGGGCTATGTTTCCAGGCCAGCTCCGGTGACGCGGGGAGGGGGGCTCTGCCCTCTCACCAGCGCCCTCCATTCTCTTCTTCTGCAGCCTCTGTCCAAAGCCTCCACCCAGAAAGCCAGATATGCATCACTGACACTGAAGCCTGTGTGAAAGCACGTGCCACAAGCTCACACACACACACACACACACACACCCTGCACGTGAAGCCTTTTCTCTGTGAATGTGACCATTATGGACTGAATGCTTGTGTCCCTGAAATTCCCATGTTGAAACCCTAACAGCCTTTGGGAGGCATTAGGTTTAGAGGAGGTCATGATGTTGCGGTCCCCACCGGGAGGAAGAGACACCGGAGAGCCCCTCCTCTCTTGCTGCCTTGGGAGGACACAGCAAGATGGCAGCTGTCTGCAGGAAAGAAAAAAGTCCTCCAAATCTGCCGGGACCTTGATCTTGGCTGTCTCAGCCTCCAGAGCTATGCTCCTTAAGCCACCCAGTCAATAGTATTTTGTTACAGCAGCACAAGCTAAGACAGAAGTAAAAAAGTGCTGATGTCAAAAAAAAAAGTGCTGATGTCATAAATACCCCCAAAATGTAGAAGCAGCTTTGGAACTGAGTAATGGGGTAGAATTCTGGACGAGTTTTGAGGTACATGCTAGAAATACAGACTCTAAGTGCTGTTCTGGTGAGGTTGGAAATGAGGAACAAATTATTGGACAATAGGGAAAAGGTGATCCTTGTTAGAAAGTGGCAAAGAACTTGGCTGAGCTGTGTTCATGTTCCAGAGTTCCCGTTGAAGGTGGAGCTTGGGAATGATGAAATTAGATAATTAACTGAGATTCTTTTTTTTTTTAATAATGTATGTGTCTAGATGCATTTTTTTTTTTTGCATATAGATGTCCGATTTTTCCAGGACCACTTGTTGAAGAGACTGTCTTTGCTCCATTGTATTGCCTTTGCTTCTTTGTCAGTGATCAGTTAACTGTATTTAAAGGGATATATTTCTGGGCTTTCTGTTCTTTTTTTAAAAATTTATTTATTTATGTTACTTTACAACATTGTATTGGTTTTGCCATATATGGCGGACTTGAATCCACCATGGATGTACATGTGTTCCCCATCCTGAGCCCCCCTTCCACCTCCCTCTCCATCCCATCCCTCTGGGTCATCCCAGTGCACCAGCCCAGAGCATCCTGTATCATTCATCAAACCTGGACTGGCGATTCATTTCACATATGATAATTTACATGTTTCAATGCTATTCTCCCATATCATCCCGCCCTCGCCCTCTCCCACAGAGTCCAAAAGACTGTTCAATACATCTGTGTCTCTCTTGCTGTCTCGCATACAGGGTTATCGTTACCATCTTTCTAAATTCCATATATATGCATTAGTATACTGTATTGGTGTTTTTCTTTCTGGCTTACTTCACTCTGTACAATAGGCTCCAGTTTCATCCACCTCATGAGAACTGATGCAAATGCATTCTTTTTAATGGCTGAATAATATTCCATTGTGTATATGTACCACAGCTTTCTTATCCATTCATCTGCTGATGGGCATCTAGGTTGCTTCCATGTCCTGGCTGTTATAAACAGTGCTGCAGTGAACTTGGGGTACACGTTTCTCTTTCAATTCTGGTTGAAGAAGATTCTTAAGAGAAGATTCTTAAGCAAAGTGTTGAAGGAGCAGCTTTGTTCCCCTTGTCTGCTTAGAGTAAAATGCAAGAAGAGAAAAATGACTTGAAGAAAGAATTCTTAAGCAAAAAGGAAAAGGAACTTAAAAATGTGGAAAATTGGCAACCTGTCTGTGTTATAAAAAAGAGAGCATGTTCAGAAGAGAGCACAGAGACTATGGCAAACCACTGTTTGATAAGATTAGCCTGGGTGTGAACCATGGGCCTAATCATCCCCCCAGCAGGAACAACTCCAGTGTAACTGCAGGGGTGAAGACAGAGGGAAGTGAGGGGAGGCCATCGGACTTGATGGATCCTGCAGGGCTGACAATATCGCTGTCTAGCTGTGTATGCTATTTTTCAGAATAAGAAAAGAATGAAGGCAATTCAATCAGCATCAGAGTTGTCTCCTTGGTTTCAAATGTGGGGTGAGGGGGCAGGGTATTGGTTTCAACAGGCAAGGCGGAGGCTTTGCTGAGCCCTCCGGGGGGGCTGGAGATGTCCAGCAGAGCTGCAGGGGTGAGGTGACCCCTGCCTCAGTGGGTCCTGAAGGCAGAGCCTGGCACCACAGAGGATTATGAGCGAACCTTAAGAGCTGATGGATTTACCTTACTAGGTTTTGGACTCACCTGGAACCTGTCACTCCTTTCTTCCTTTTGATCTCTCCTTTTTTGGAATGGGAGTTTATATCCTATGCTTGTTCCACTGCTGCATTTTTGGAAGCACATAACTTATCTGGTTTTACAGGTTCTCAGATGAGAATAATTTTCTTTCAAGAAGAAGCATATCTCAAGTCTAACCCAGTCTGATTTATTATAGATGAGACTTTAGATTTGAAGGAGAAATGAGTTAAGACTTTGGGAACTGTTGGGATGGAATTGATATATTTTGCATGCAGGAATTCATTGCATGAATTTTGGGGGATCAGGGACAGAATGTTGTGGACTAAACGTTTCTGTCCCCCCAGTAAGCCATTATGTTGAAGCCCTAACTCCCAATGTAATGGTATGTGGAGGTGGGGCCTTGAGGGGGCAGTTAAGTTTAGAGTTGACGTCATGAGGGTAGGACTTGTGTGAGGGGTTGGTGTCTCTCTAAGGAGAGAGAGACCACGGATCCCGCTCTCTGCACATGACAGTGCAGCAGGAAGGTGCCCGTCTACAAGCCGGGAGGAGGGCCCTCAGCGAGAACTGAGTCTGTTGGCACCTTGACCTTGGGCTTTCCAGCCTCCACAACTGTGAGGAGTAGATGTCTGTTGTTTAGGCCCCTGGTTCATGGTGTTTTGTTATAGCAGCTCAAGCTGACTAAGACAGGGCCTTAAAAGCCCTGAAAGCTGGCAGGTCACCTGCACCTGGCCAGGTAGAGTGCTCTTCCAGGATGTTGTTCATCTCCTGTCGGAAGTTAGCCATCAGGCTTCTGAGTATCAGTGCCTGCTTATCTGGATGCAGGTGATCCAAGACTCGAGTAGGAATGCCTTGGGTTTTTTTGTTGTTGGTTGGTTGTTTTTAATTGAAGTACAGTTGATTTACAATGTTTTGTTAATTTCTGCCATACAGCAAAGTGATTCAGTTTATACATATATGTACATTCTCTTTTAAATATTCTTTTCCATTGTAGTTTATCCTAGGATATAAACCTACATAGTAGGGCCGGTTGTTAAGTAGAACAATTTAGTTGGTGGCCTGAGCCAAGTCAGCTTGCTGCCTGCGTTTCAACCCCAGCTTCTAAAAAGCAGCCTGCTCCCCTAGCACACACCCACACCCACTCACACATGTGCACACATGAACATACACACAAGTATTTCACATCCCCGCTTTCCCAGGGTGGAGCCGGGGTGGAGGAGCTGGCCCTGCTGAGTTGCTCCTGGCCAGAGCCCAGGAGAACGGAGGAGCAGCGGGGACCAGAGCTCGGCCTGGGGACGAGGCCGGGGCGGCCACAGCCACGTGGAGCCATGGTTCCGGCATAGCTGGAGGTGGCATGGGGCGGGTGGGAAGGGAGGGCCGGCCTAGAGAGAATCCCCTGGGGAGACCCCAGGCTCCATCACCGCAGGACATGGCCCCACTGGCAGCTGCTCGGCCGTCCGTGTTGGCCCACGAGTATTGTTACTGAGCACGTAAGGTGCGCCCCACTGACCCAGGCAAAACTGACGGATGAGGTGTGGGCTGTCTCCGATTTATAGACAATGGTCTTGCATACCTATAAACATACCCCACCCACAAGAGTGGTGCTTGGGTATGCTTTTAAAAAATGCAGTAAAAAATGGAATCATGCTGTGCTTGTTACTCAGCAGCTTACTTTTCACAGCAATCTTTTTTTTTAGCTCTGTCCACGTTGATAGCCGAGATCTTGCTCATTCCTCTCAACTATTAACACCATACGTATGTCGTATCCATATCTACTTTCTCCTTAGCTAGCCCGTCCCGAGACATGGCATCTTGCGGCTGGCAGCCCTTCCCGTGGGGAGAGCAGAGCCCTGACACGGGGTGAATGCGGTGCTGCCGACGTGACATCATGTGGAGGGCGAGCCAGGCTGACGGGTGCCCTCTCCTCACGCCTCCCCTGGGGGTGGTGCTCAGAAATGCCTGGGGCTTACACTGCAGTTGTTGAAGGAGGGGCAGCGTCACCAGAAAGTCACCCTAATGGCTTCATCCCTGGTCTCCAAGAGAGTCCTGAGGCTACTCCATGCTGGGCTGGGAAGGGGCTGCAGTCAGGAGATCCTCCTCTCTCCATCGTCCCCGGGGCTTCAGGCCACTTATTTCTTCCATCTGCTCTCAGGCTTTTTTTCCTTTCAGGATTCTGATGTATCTAAACTCATGGTGCATATTATAAGTCAGTAGCTTTGCTGTAATCTCTGTGGGCCTGGACTGAAGTTGAGTTCTTCCCTAGAGAATGCGTGTTGCTTCTGTCCATCACGGTCGGCAGGAAGCATCCTCCTCTGTGGAGGGTGCGATGGAGAAGCTGAGGTTGGGTCTTGAAGGATGAGCAAGTGCATACAGCAGGACGGGGTGGAGAAGAGAGCTCCAGGCATACAGCAGGTACTCAGAAGCTCGGAGGACGATCCTCAAGGATCCTGACATGGTCTGGGCGTGCCAAGTGGCAGAAGCAGTAAGGTTGTTGCCTCAGCAAGCACTTACTGGGGATTTAACTGGCCCCCCATCCGAGACCCGCTGATGCTGCACCCCCATAGCCTGTGCTCTCAGGACCCTCTTCTGACTGCACCTGGGTTTTTCCTAGAACATAGGCTCGGGTTAAGAAAGTATTTATCTATCCGGCAGAAATGGGAATAGGAGAGAGGCACAGTTGGCAAGTATAATGTAGGGCAATGATTTTCTTCTGTAACTGGTTTGCTGGGCTGGGAAGGCACTGGTCAGCCCTGTGGGCAAAGGGGAAGGGACATGCTAGACCATCAAATGAGCACAGAGTATTCCTGCTGCTCTCTGTGGTTCAGGAAGCTCAATGGCCTGCCCCTGTGGAGGCACATCCCTGGGGACAGCTCAGGCTGATACCATCTGGACCCCAGAGGAAGCCCACGGCTCCGGAGCCTCCAGGAAGTCCCCGGCTGGGAAGGGTAGGGGCGGAGATCTGGTCCCAGTGCTGGCAGTAAGCCCTGTATATTGGGTCACCTTCCTTCTCTGAGCCCATGGGGCCAGGAGGATGGGTTCTCAACCAGGGCTGCACATAAGAACTTCCTGGAAGGCTTGTAAGACCTACAGATGCCTAGCCCCCCCCGCCACCCCGCTTCTTGTCTCAAGGAAACAGCCTGGCAGGAAGTGTGCGCCCCTCTCCCATCTTCCATTCTCAGAGCATCTACCACTGTGTGCAGGAGAGTCTTGCTTCTCCCTTACTGGTAATTTAATCCTGACAAACCCACGGACACTCTGCCTCCAGGCTTAGGTCAGGAGACTTTCACTTTGAAGTTTGGTTTGATTTAGTAAATGGTTGCTGAGCATCTAGTGAGGAAGGGGCACTGTGCCAGGAGCCAGGGACAACGGCGTGGTCCCTGCAGTGGGAATCATGTGACCCGGCGGGGAGGGTCGGGTCCTGCCCTGATGATCAGCGGTCAGATGCCCGGGGAGTATGAGAGAGGCATTCAGCTGAGAGCTGGAAGGAGGCTTCTTGAAGCAGCAGCCTCGAAGTCACAGTAGGAGGAAGCCAGGCGAGTGGGAGGAGCAGGTTCTGAGCAACAGGAATAATGAGCGCAGACACGGCAGCACCGTCTTCCCGTCCTTGGGGCCAGTAGCCGGTGGCAGTGCCTTAGTTAAATCAGGTTTTTCAGCCCTGGTTAGTTTCTTCAAATTCAGTCTGATAAATTGTCTAGAGAAATGGGATTGGGAAAGTCTTGGATCTTGGGTGCCGGAGTAGTTCCTCTGAGAGACTTATAGCAGCGCCGGGGGTCAGATGTGAGTCCTCCGCAGTGGACGGGCCAGGGACCCCGTGGGGCGCCCCCGCGGTGTGCCGTCGGGCCTGTGGCAGGGCTCCCGGCCGAGGCTCACTGTGGGGCTGGGGCGCATTCCTTTTGAAAGCCGGTGCCCAGAAGTGGGGCACCGGACCCTCTCTCTCACCATCAAGCAAGCCCTCCACATGCTTTGGGATGGGCGGCCAGGGGTCCTTCAACCACCTTCAACCAGAACTGGCTCCTTTATGCAGGTAGACTGTCAGCTCAGCTCGAGCACCTCAGTCTGAGTGAACCGTCCATCACGTCGCACCCTGCCGGGTTGCCAGCGATCCGGACCGAACTGCGTGCTCGCCTGCTCCTTCCAGCGCGGGCACTCCCTCTCCCCGCCTGAACAGAAGGCCCGCTGGGAGCTGCGCTGTGTGGGCTGATTGGGCCTGGCAGAGGAGGGAACAGTCAGAATGGACCCTTCCAGTGAGTAGAAACCTGAGTACGGGGAGGGTGATATCAGCTGAGTTACAGAGGCGAGGCTGCGGGGGGAGTGGGCCAGAGTCTGTGCAACAGCAACTGGGGAGAGGTGACAAGTCTTGGGCAATGGGGCAGGAAAATGGGGTGAGGCCAGGGTTCTTGGGTCTTTCAGAGGAGACACAGCCAGGTGGCTTTAGAGAGATTACTAACAACAGCCTCCAGCCAAGAAGAGAAGAAAAACCAGTACCTCCCAAGTGTTTACAATTGTTTTTTAACAATGAGACCACAGGTGCCATACCTGTGACTATTTATTGATCATATACTTTGTGCCAAGCACTATTAACTGCTGCCTTCCATGCATGCATGCATGCATGCTAAGTCACTTCAGTCGTGTCCGACTCTTTGCGACCCTACTGACTGTATAGCCCCCCAGTCTCCTCTGTCCATGGGGATTCTCCAGGCAAGAATACTGGAGTGTGTTGCCGTGCCCTCCTCCAGGGGATCTGCCCGACCCAGGGATTGAACCTGTGTCTCTTATGTCTTCTGCACTGGCAGGCTGGTTCTTTACCACTAATACCACCTGGGAAGCCCTCTTCGTAGTAATCCTGCCAATGGGGACTATTAGTCCCCATTTTATAGATGGGGAAACTGAGACTCAGAGAGATTGAGGGACTTGCCTAAAGACCTTCATTCTTTCATCATGTGTTTATGGGAAGCCCACAGTGCCAGGTACTGTGCCAGGCCTTGGGGGGGTCCATGGAAAACAAGGTAGACTAGCCCCCTGGGTTTGTAGCTGACAGCTGATCTAGGAGGATGGACCATTAATCAAGAGCAATTACAGTGGGGATTTCCCTGGTGGCCCACTGCAGGGGGCTCAGGATCCATCCCTGACTGGGGAAGGTCCGCATGCCATGTGATGTGGCCAAAAAAAAAGAAATTACAACGGGACTGGGTTAAGTGGATAGAGTGGCCAGCCAGAGCTGGAGCCCCCTGGTGTTGAGCGACTGCAGAAGGCTCCTGGAAGAACTGATGTTCAGGACCTGTGGGCTGGAGAGGGGCTGGCCTTCAGTCTCACTGAAGGAGAAGCTGTGTACTCTCGCCATAGTACCCAGTCACTCATGTGTCTGAATTGTCTTTTGATCACTCTGCACCCATCTCTCAAGTGCCTTCAGGCATCCTGGGAAGTCCTCCCAGAAGAACTGTTGGAGGTCAGCACCTCATCTCCGCCTTCATGCTCCTGTTTGCACACACGTTTCCACAGAAGTGTCCGAGGAGGCGCCCCCCTCCCAGTTTCCCAGGCCGGCCCCTGGCTCAGGCCCACTGCAGCCCAGCTCTGCAGAGGGTAAGCCCAGGGGCACCTCACTCTCCACGGCTGGGCAGGGGCAGGCAACACCTCCGCCATACCTGGCTTTCTTGGCCTCCAAGCAGAAACACAGATTTACAAATGCAGATTCAAGTTCTAAACTTGTTAGGTAATTTGGGCTGGAAGAATGAGCCTCCTTCACTCAACACTCCAGCTCCCAGCCTCAGCTTCACTGCTTCAGTCCCTGGTACAGCTCCAGCTTCTGCTTACATACCCCTGAGGATGGGGAGCTCACTACCTCAATAAGCAATTCAGTGCATCTTCAAAGAATTCTCTTTAATAAAAGAGAAATTATCTTTAAAGAAAATAGTATTCACTTTAGTATTATTGAATGGTCACCAAGTGTTAGAAACTATGATAAGCTCCTTATATGTGTTGACTCCCTTAAACTTCATTCAGACTTCCCAGGTGGCTCAGTGGTAAAGAATATTCCTACCAATGCAGGAACCGCAGGGGACGCAGGTTTGATCCCTGAGTCAGGAAGATCCCCAGGAGGAGAAAATGGCAGCCCATTCCAGTATTCTTGCCTGGAGAATCCCATGGGCAGAGGAGTCTAGCAGGCTACAGACCATAGAGTCACAAAGAGTCAAAGAGTCGGAAGAGACTTAGGCACAAACAGACGCTGGGAACCTTTGCTTTACAGAGTTGCTTAGCTCACCTGTTCTTCCTTCCTAACCCCAGGCATCTCTAGAAATAGGACTGGACACAATCAAATTTGACTGATGCCAGAAAGAGTCCATTTCCCCCAGAAATCTTGCTGAGACTGTCACGGGGTCTCAAGCATTCCTTTTCACACAATGGCCCTTCATTCTTTTGGTTTAGGCATTGTTAATGCCCGTAGGAAGTGGGTCTGCACTTCAGCTGCTAAGCCTTTAGTGTGGAGTCGCTCAGTGGTTTTCAGTTTTGGCCGCACTCTGGGATCACATGGTGACTTTTAAAAAGCACGGAGGCTTTGGTTTCACCCCTAAAAATTCTGAACTCATAAGTCCAAGGTAGGCTTTTTAAAAGCTTCCCCAAATGGCCTAATATTCACAGATTGATAATAACTAGATTAGATCAGGTGGTTCACCTGGGTTCAGCGTCCTGTGACAGGGGAAGTGGGTTTGCAGGCCCTCTCTGCGGGGCTCTGAGAAGAGGTTGGGTGGCGCTGTTCGGATGCACAGTAGTTGATTAGCCAAGTAGCGAATGGTGGACTTGGGTGTGGCGTGTGTGACTCTGGGTTGGTGTTCCATCAGTGTTAGACCCCTTCACTTCCTTCCCAAATGCTTGTTGAATGAGAGGAGACTTGATTAAGTCTGGATGAAAAAAATCACAGAAGTGAGCTCCCCTGCACCCTTGGGATTGTTCCTGGTGCTCAAGCTCCCTCATGTGTGTGGGCTTTTCAAAAGAATGAAGCACTGAAGCCAAGCTGTGATGATCCTTAGTTACAAATGAGGAAAGGATGCTCAGAGAGGGAGGGGATTTGCACAGTGGCCCAGATAGGGCCTGGTGCAGCCAAAACAAGACTGGGGTCTTCAGATTCCGGGGCTTCCCCAGCCAGCCTCTTGCACTCCTCTGCCACCCTCTGCCCCCACAGGCAGGTGTGCCTTCTGGGCATCTGGAGAGAAGGGCGGCATTTCCACTCTGCAATCAAGATGGAACTGAGAAGAGCCCCGGGTGAATACAGTGGCCCAGAAGCCACAGGGCATTTCAAGCATGAAAGGGTGCTCTGCCGTGTCCCAGATGGACAAGGTTATCTGCTGGGAATGAGGAGGAATTTGGAGGTCTGGAGAGATTGGGGGAAACTGCTCATAATAATCATAGAGAAAGGAGGCGTGAATTTACATGAGAAGTGCAGTAAGGCAGTCTGGAGGGCCGTCTCGAGGGTACACTGTGCTCGGTTGCCCTGGAGACTGTCTGCTGTGGACACTGTCCACTGTGTCGACTGCTCAGGCCTCAGTCTGGGCAGAGAGGAAGTGAAGAACGGTTGATCCAGGGTGGGGGTTTTGCCAGGCACAAGTGATGAAGAGAGGCCGCTAGAGTTTGAAGAATCTTGGCCGAGGAGAGGGAGGAGGTTCTTGTAGATGAGGGTGCTGGAGGCATGGGGGCTGATGCCGGACCTCGCAGCAGGTTTCTACCTGTTGGAAGAATGAAGAGGAAAGTCTGGGGGAACAGAGCGCTCACATTGATGAGGGTGGACCAAACTCAATGGTATAGGATTTTTCTGGACAGGGTGGAGGAGTGATGGTCTAAACTAGTGGTATCCAAAAAAATTATAATGTGAGCCGCACACACACAAGGCACATATGCCATTCTAAATTTTCTGGTGGTTACCTTAAAAAAGAAAGAAAAAATTAAGAAACAGGCACAGTTCATTTTAACAATATATTTTGTTTTACCTAATATGTCTAAAATATTATTTCAACATATAATCAATATAAAAATTATTAATGAGCTCTTTTGCATTTTCTTTAACATTTCTTAATACATTAAACATAATCTTCAAAGTCTCCCAAATCTGGTGTGCATTTAACATTTAGAGCACATCTTATTTCAGACTGGCTAATTTCAAGTGCTCAGTAGGTACTGTGACATGTAGCTCCTGTCTCAGAAAGCCCAGGCCTGGACTCCTGCTTCTCGTCACATCTGCCTCCCAATTCTGTACCAGTACTGAGTGATGTGCTATGTTGGAAAATGAGAGAGTGAAAACCTCCACCTTCGTAGCCCAAGTGCCTGATCTTATTAGAGTAAGCTGTGGAGCAGTGAAGGGAGGGCTGGGCTCCAGTCCCAGCTCTGATCTTCTACTCGGCAGAAATCTGGACACATGGCATGCCTCTTCTTTTTCTTTTTTCTTTTTAATGAATAAATGTACTGCTGGTTTAATAAAATTCTGCTCTAAAACATTCTGATCACAGACTATCTTTTAAATTGAGGTATAGTTGATTAGTTTCAGGTATTATGATTCAAAATTTTATAGATTATATTCCAATTACAGTTTAAAATATTAGCTGTATTCCCTGTGCCGTACAATATATCCTTGTAGCTTATTTATAATAGTAGTAGTTGTATCTCCCCTACCCCTGTCTTGCCTCTTCCCACTTTCTTCTTCCCACAATAACCTCTAGTTTATTCTCTAATATCTGTGAGTCTATTTCTGTTTGGTTATATTAACTAGTTTAAGTTTTTAGAGTCCATATATAAGTGATAACATACAGTATTTGTCTTTCTCTGTCTTACTTATTTCACTAAGCACAATACTTTCCAAGTTCATCCATGTTGTCACAAACGGCAAAATTTCATTCTTTTTCAAGGCTGAGCAATTTTCAATATAAACTGTTTATACCACATCTTCTTTATCCATTCATCTGTTGATAGATACTTAGTTTGCTTCCATATTGCACATAATGCTTCAGTGAACATGGGGACACACATATCTTTTCAAATTAGTGTTATTGTTTTTTTTTTTTTGGATGCATACTCAGGAGTGGAATTGCTGGTTCATATAGTGATTCTATTTTTAGTTTTTTGAGGAGCCTCCACGCTGTTTTCCATAATGGCTCTACCAGTTGACATTCCCACCAACACTGTACAAGGGTCCCCTTCTCTCCACATCTCACCAATATTTATTTATAGTTTTTGATGAGGGCCATTTGACAGGTGTGAG